TGTTTTAATTTCTAGAGCCTCATGCTGATTCCATGAGTAAGGCAACCTTATCAAAACAGTAGAGGCCTGCCTTAAACTCATAATAAGATATGCAAACTTGACAATCTAAATGTTTAAATTAGAAACAAAAATTCCTAGTCCGCCAAACTCATCCCAGACGATACAACTTCCCAGAAACCTTAGCTACAACATTTTATTCCTTATTTTCATTTTTATAAATATTTTACACACAGTAAAGCCTTCTTTTATGTTTTTATTCTTTACTTCTCGATATTACATGAATTAAAAACAATTTATATATATTTATAAAAAAATCACTGTGCACTATGAAGCGGCAGCAGCATCAACAAAATCAGCAACACTAGTGTATAGTTGAAAGCGAAATTTAATATGTGCGAGCAGGTTCTGCCTCGAATGGGAAAAGGAAAAGAGAGAAAAAAAATAATTTCATGCTTATATAATTTCATAGACAATTATCGATGCATCAATAGGCGACTAATATAGTCAATATTAAATAAGTATTTATTTTTACAATTGATTTGTGATAAAGTTTATTTCTTTTACTTCTCGTTCGTAAATGTGAGTGTCTGGTGAACCTTTTTTGTGGAATTTGGGGTTCAGTTATTGAGTTACTGCAGCGGTGAAATGGCATCAGTGGGTTTTGTTTAAAAGCGTTGGCCTTACGTGCCAAAAGTATTGGGTTTAATGCCAGGTCAAGAAAAGTTTTAGAAACTCTTGCTCTAATTCACAGTTCTAGTTACGAAGCTTGGTTCGTGTGTTGGGTGGAGATTTGAGGTCTTCGGCATATAACTTGTCTCCATTGCTAGATATACTGTAGATATGTTGAAATATTCAACGGTTTATTTGATTTGAATCGGTAAACCGTGATCAGTTTTGCGGGATACCAACAAGCAGTCGGGAGCAGCCTTAGAAACAAATACTAAGTTATCAGGTAAATGTAAGTATTAAAGTGTGAGATCTACATATACTTGGATAAACCAGCAGCTGAATGATTTCATTAAACTGACCAGGTACATTGCAGGTTACATCAGGTCTTTGGACGTATTCGTGTGGATAGAACAACCACGTGAGCCTAAAACTAAAAGTTTCAAGAATTTTCATAGTTCTTTATTGTTCCCAGATGTCAATTGGACTTGAAATAGTGATAGCAGTGATAGCTAAAAGGTTCTCAAAAAAAATTAATCTTTATTTTATATGTGTAAAAACAATTGAAATTGAATTATTCGAAGCACGTCTAGATTATTTGAGTCACACTTTAGTGCCACATCACACTATTTACCTAACACTGATCAACACAACATTTTTTTTAATGATTCAATTTATTTCTTACATCAGCAAAAAAAAAAAAATAATATGTCTAATGAAATATAACATTAAAATTAATGATAATTCAATCAAATGAAAGTGTTCATAAAACATAAATAAATTTGCGTGAAAAAATAATAATCAAGATAAAATAAAGTTGGTGAAAAAAAAAACTGAGAGGCATATGTAAAAATCCATAAGACGACGATTCCAAAGTCGTTGTTTTAATCAACAAGTGATCGACTGCCACGGTCGGAGTTGTATGCATGTTTCATTTTCATATTATTTTATAATAATTCCCTGAAGGAATTGCTACTGCACTTTTGTTTTGTGCATACACTGTGTGTACACGTTTTTAAATCCATCCTTCTACTGGCAATTTTTTTTTTATTTTATGAATAATTTTTTTTTATTTTTCTCCTTCTGCAATGCAGGTGATTTTACGTTACATGATAATATGCATTATCCATATGAGCGTCATTAACTCTTATTTTTTTTTTTTTCGTTACGTTCGATCCACATTTTTTACGCTTTAAAAAAAGATTTTCTTTTATTGGAAAATTGGAATGTTGGCTACTAGTTAATTTGCATTCTGCGGAGAGTCTAAATGATTCCTTCGGGCATCATATCATCCCCTCAATTGTATTTGTCTTTGAAGTGTTGAACATTACTTGATGATCATCGATAATTGATTGATGGGATGATTGTGCTTTGTGAGGTTTTGCCATAAATTCTGTTAATATTATTTATTGCCACCTTATTCTACTTATTTTGTTTCTTTTTGCTGTTTAGAAATTGATGATTTATTCTTTGTGGTTGATGGTTGTGCATTGATTTCTAACAGATTTTTAGATGTCCTCATTCGATTCGGTTTGTTGGTCATTTAAAGAGTCTTTCTAGCTCTTCCTGAAGATTATTTATATTACAGGGAATTTGTATTAATTTCATGCAATGGTCAGGACATTAAAAGTCATTAAATTTTAAGTGAGCTGACCCCTAAAGCTGATAATCACAGCTATGCCATTAAATAGGTCTCGTGATTGATAATTCGACAGTTTTTTAATGAAGATATTTAGGTCATTCGATCATATGATTTATGACAGCCTTAAAAAATGAAGCAACATTCCGGATCATGATTGAATTGGTGCAATAAATTTCATTTTGTGGCTTTCTTGTTACTCATTCAGTGCTTGGGATTGTGCTTTCAATAGGGCAGTTTGATTTTTTTTGAAGAGACTTTTGGTGTCATTTAAAAATACTGTCCAACTGCCCGCTTTTTAGCGAGCAGTCTCGTTTTTTGACAAAGTCTTTACTACAATCCTTAAATTGCCCAGCTTTTAAACCTATTTTGCTTGGAAAATGCTTGAAATTTTGGTGTGTCCTGCTTTTTCAGAGCTGGAATCGGGACAAGTACTGCTTTTTGACTAAAAATCGGCAAAAACCAATAAATGGGGGAGGGGGGGGCTTAGATTTTGTTACGGTTCAAACAAAAAAAAATTTTTCATACAAATTTTGTTACGAGAAGGGGGAGGGGGGTCTAAAAAGTTGGAAGAATATTAAAAAGATCAATATCAATTTAGAATTATTGTTGAAATAAGAACCCCAGCCTTACACACGTCTAAATCACAAATAAAATATTTTTACAAATTTTGAAGATTTAATGACTAAGGATATGAACGATTTAAAGATATTAACAACCAAGGAAATCCGCATTTTAATCCCATACATCAACAATTCATCTGTACAAACAAAAGCAAAGCCATGAACATTAAAACTTCAGCTGCATTCATAAAAATCCATTTAAAAACCATTCAAAAAAATGTATAAAAATTAATTAAATCGCGATCATGTTTGACCAATCGTCACTGCTGTGTGATTGATTTCGGTCGTGATCGAAAGCATTGACACTCCTTGATTCCAATCGTAAACTCTTTTTATTTTTCATATCAGAAAATGAATTTTAGACATTTTATTACCCAATTACGGAAAAATGCGTTATTTCATTAAGTCAATTGTCTATGATAAGCTTTTGTTCCAATTTTAAAATTCTGCACAAGTTCCAAATTTGTTCAGCTGATCGATATAAAATTGCTTTAAAAAAAAACAAGCAAAAGTATTTCAAATATCTTAATCATTCTGCAGCTATTCAGTGCTCCAAAAGACAAATTTAATATTTAGTGCCTTAGCATTTATAAACCGATTAATGCTAACATAAAAATAGATTAAATCATAAAAATGTAATTTTGACGCTATGAAGTCTGCAACAGAGAATTGCCATATCCAAAAGGCAACAATTTATAGTTTTATTTCAAGGCTAGGCAGTGCAACAAATAAATGTATAGATCCGATAGTTTTGAACAGCCATAAATAAGAGAATTGAGATATGCAGCTTGTGAAAATTAATAGACCCGGGTAATGCATGAATGATCAGAGTTGGAATTTGGAATCTCATGAAAGGATTAAGGATCTTAGTAGCCAAAATCGTCCTTATAAATTACATTGATGTTGCTGAAGAAGGTCAATGTAATACATAAAGACGATTTGGTTACTAGGGGATTTGTTTGTGAAGTATATTCTGTGATAAGATACTAGTTTGGGTCTTTATTGAAGGACAAACCATCTTACATGCCCTAGAGTATGAATAGAAGTCAAATTAAAGTGTTTGGCTGTAGGGATGTACTTGAATACACCAAGAATACGTTCCTTGTAATACTATGCGATACTTAGGGTTTGGGATGGTTGAGTCTTAGATATTTAAATATTGGCTTGATATTCGAACCTGGCCATTTTAACAATATTTACTCAATCTAGTGTTCATCTTAATTTTTAACCCCCTTAATCCTAGCATTTTTACAAAAATTCTTAATTTCTAGTCAAAAGTCAACTCCAAAATTCTCAACTCGGGCAACTACAAAAGCCTTTTATTTTGTAGCTCAACACAGCAAAGTAAGAAAAGATATATTTTGCAATTTGGTGCAAGACGGCAATAAATAATCGAAATGGTGTTGAAATTTCATATGAGGTCTCTTATTCTCTCTCACAATGCACATTTAGTCAGTCATTCAGTCACTCAATGACTGAGAGAATTAACGTGAGTGAGAAAGAGCGAATAAATTGCCGCGCAAAGAAATAAAAAATAAAAAAATTCAAATAAAATATTCATTACAAAATACGAAATAACATCAAAAGCAGATTTACAGCACAAAATACATTACCTCATTTTTATTGCCTAAGGCTACTTCACGAAAAAAAAGCACAACGATCGCAAGAAAGAATACTTTAAATGTTCTTATTATGCCAGAATGCTTTGTGTGTTTGTTGCTCTTTTTCCTTTTGTTGTTTAAGTTTTTGGGGAAGCAACTGAAACCACAGAATTTTTATATTTTTTTATTGCATCTTTATGAATATTATTTTATTATTTTTTTTATCAATTTAAATCCAAATTAAATATCTACAGATAAATTTTATGATTTGTTTAATTTAGAATTGTTTGTGAATGATTCTAGCACGGAAACACAGCACAGCAAAAATAATATAATTTAATTGAAAAATAGATAAAAGTCAATAAAAGCACGCCTGTGAGCGCTCGACACAGCAAAACGAGCAAAAATGAATTATTTCTCAATTATACTAAAAAAAAAATTATATTTTATTTTCATTTCCTTTTCTAATAGGTTTCAGCAACTGATCTCGACTGTGGTGTAAATGCCATTGTAAACTATACCCTTGGGGAGGGCATGAAGAAGCTAAGCGATTTTGAAATTCGATCAGACACTGGAGAAGTGTGTATTTCAGGCGATTTAGATTATGAAACGAGAAATTCTTATGAGTTTCCGATCATCGCAACAGATAGAGGTAAGGAAAATCAGAATAAAAATGCTGAAGAATGAATAGAGCAAGTAGGGAAGTCACTTTGGAGTGTTTGATGACTAAGGCGCATTTTTTGTTTTATAACTTAATAGACTTTAAGTTTTGATAAACTTAATTTACTCAGAATCAATCAGTCTGAAGATTTTTCTATGTCTAAACAGATTTAATAACAGAAAAATTCACGGATGCACCTCTAAAAACTTATGTACTTGGGGGGTCCTCATTTTGAGTGTATTTCGGATAAGAGAAATCTTGATCAAATCGAATCTACCCAAATTCAGGGCCCCCAGTATCCATCTCTTTAAGCCTTGACCAAAACTTAGTAGAAATCTAACAATAAACCCATTAAATAGAGCTTTAGACTTCAACTTGGATACCCCAACCACCTTCAAAGAGCAGATTGGATTACCTTCCTTAGTAAGCCAAGTTATCTTAAGTTCCAATTGCTTAGCCTCATCAAAATTCATTCAGACAATTCAAAGATGACTCTTAGCCCAAGAATCCAAATAATTCCAACTATCCCTCATCAAACTCTCTCAAGACTAGACAATCTGCTCCATTCTCAACCTAAACTCATAAAAAAATCTAGCTCTTAAAAAATTCAATTATTCGTAATTGCAGACATTCGACTAATGGCTTTTTTTATTATTTATTATTTTTTTCCCATACAGGTGGCTTGAGTACAACGGCAATAGTTAAAATACAAGTTACAGATCTCAATGACAATAGACCAATTTTTTACCCACGCGAATACAATGTGTCATTAAGAGAGTCATCGCCAACATCAGAATCTGTTGTAGTCATTGCGGCAAGTGATCCCGATTCAGGACGCTTTGGCACCGTTACATATCGAATTGTTGCTGGCAATGATGCAGGAATATTTCGCATTGATCGTGGAAGTGGCGAAATATTTGTTGCACGTCCAAATATGCTGTCGAGTCGAAATCAGCCATATCATCGTCTCAACATCTCGGCAATTGACGGTGGTGGCTTGAGAACAGCACAAGATGCAGAAGTCTTTATCAGCATCATTGACTCATCACAACGTCCACCAATATTCGATCACACACGTTACAACTTTTCCGTACGCGAAGATGCAAAACGAAATACAATCATTGGATCTGTATCTGCAACATCTAGCAATTCAGGTAAGAATTTTTTTCATTTCCATCACTGATTTGCATATCTTTTTTTTTTTGCTTGCCTTTGAGAATTTATTCTCTCGATTTCATATCTATTTGCCCTCGTTTATCAGTTATCAGCGATCAATTTTTTTTGTTGTCTCCTGCAAATGCCATTTTTGTTCTGTCTCTCCTCAAATTTTTTTTTTCATCTGTTTCACAAGACGGAATGAATAATAATTTATGAGACATTGAAATGAATGAATAATTTAAAAATAAGAATTTTTTTCAAATAAAAAAATTTGACTTTTAGGTTTTTTTCTTTTGTTTCTTCTTATTTTTATGCTACGGAATGCCTTCTCATTGTATTTATTAGACTTAAATATCATCAATTAGTATAAAAGCGAATGTAAATGTAAGCAAATTGGATTGAATTTTGACTTTTAGTGTTGCTTTAGAGCTTTAGAGTTGGTAATTTGGATGTGGATGATTAAGAGTGGATTATAGAGTTGCTACGTGATCGATAGAGTTCAATTTCTATTTTAGGGCTAGACTGAGGATTGATTGGTTGAATTTTATGGTTTAAGTCAGTCACTTTCTGTCTTTACTACTGGATATATCCATATATATACCAGCGACAGAGTCAGCTTCAGGTGCCATCTAAGGCAGGCCATGGATCACAATTGATTTGTACGGCAAGCGAAGTAAATAAGTACTGGATTAATCCAAGACATGGGGTAGGAAAGCAGAAAAGTTCTTAAATTCAGGGCTTAAGAGGGCTGAGGAGGTTTTTCTGGACTTTCTGGGGGAGTTTATTCTTCTCGCAGCTAGTTCTTATGGACACCCGAAAGTTAAGATCATCCAACCGACCTCTGAACTATGTTTTGAGTGTTGAAAAGGAGGCATTCATTTCACCAGATGTTCCTGGCAGAGATGTAGCCAAAAATTTAAAAAAAAAGCCGGGGGGGGGGGAGGGTCAACAAATTTTGTATGGAAAACTTTTAGGGGACGGGTTATTTTTTGGGAATTTTTTCATATAAAACTTCGCAGTTTGAGAACATTTCTGTTTATTTTCCCTTATTTATTCACGCCTACCTCCTGATTGTGCTATAAGATAAGTTCCATGGAATGGTCGGTTGTTTGATCAGAAATCTTGCACTAAGCCGTAATGATTCTAGCATGGTGCTGAATTTAAATCGAAGACAGCTCCATACCAAAGTCATCCCAGCTTGGAGCCAGATTTCTATTCGATTAATCGACTTAAGCTATTCGAGCCTCTAGCATCATCAAGAAATAAATAAATCAAACCAATTTTGAAGCTATGCTATCTTATCCAATTCTTATAAAGTCCTCACTAAAGAAATTTCAAAATATTCACCCAAAAGCAATTCCATCCACCTGACCTTTCGCATAAACGCGCTCAACAAGCAAGCAACAAAAAAAAAATCCCATCGCGTAAAAACAAGCAGTTCAGTTACTTCTTCTTTCCGCCGAAAAAGCAGCAACAGGGAAAAAAATACATTTTCTCTTTCGAAACTAATTGGTTTCTTGTATGCAAAATAAATTCTTGTGGACTTTTTGGCATAAAGTAAATGCGAGAAAAGCATCGAAAAATGAAAAAAAAAACTTTTAAGTAAGCGAGAGAAAGAAAGGAATGAAAAAAAATAAAGAATGTATTTGGGATTCATTGATCATTAAAATTGATCCTGTTATGTTGCTGCTCAGACCCCCGAAAGTCCATGTTTGAAATTAAATATGGTAATCTGTGCACTCTTTTTTTTGTGTGCTGAACAGAAAGAAATTCGCGCAATTATTAATTCAATGATTCGTGCACCTCTTTCTCTCTCTCTGATTGTGTACCCGTACCTTTAATTCGGGAGTGCAAATGTAAAGGTTGTTTTTGTGTATGTTTGAGCTTACTTTATATTTTGAGGTGGGCATTTTGGTGAATGATGAGGTTGAAAGGTCAGTTTGGGTGAATGAAATGCTGACTGGATGAAGCCAGAGCTGATAAAATTCATTATTTAAATAATTTGGGAATTAAATGTTCATAGCAATTCAAATCTGAATTTTAAAGGCTGTTAATAATTTGAACTTTAAAAAGTTGTTAAAAACTTCAACTTTTGAAAGCCGTTAAAAATTTGAATTTTATGAAGCCTGTAAAAGTTTGAACTTTAGAAAGCCTGTAAAATTTTGAACTTTAGAAAACCTGTAAAAATTTGAATTTTAGAAAGCTGTTAAAAAATGAATTAAAAAAAATTCAGATCAAAAATTAGAACTTTAGAAAGCCTGTTAAAAATTTGAACTTTAGAAAGCCTGTAAAAATTTGAATTTTAAAAAGCCAGTAAAAATTTGAACTCTAGAAAGCCTGTAAAAATTTGAATTTTAAAAAGTCAATAAAAATTTTAAATTTTAAAAAGCCGTTAAAAATTCAAATTCCTAAAATCCGTTAAGTTTTTAAATAATATAATTCATTTGTATAAATACGTAACTGCGCCATTGCAACGTTCTCAATCTTCTTGCATCACCCATAACACAACTACTTTCTTAAAACAAGTACAATTTTTCTTTCTCTTATGTTTCTGTATGTACCTCTCTCCGGAACATTCCAATGATACCTCTTGTGTTGAAAGAAAAGAAAAAAATGTTGAAATTAAAATAAATTATGAACTATTTTTCTTCCTTAAAATTTACCAAAAAGATATTTTTCTCTTATTGAATACAAAATTATTTTGCATTATTTTCGGGATGAAAAGGAAAAAATTCCCACTGGAAAATATTCATGAAATTTTTGGCTGTTTTCGAGGCTTAAATTTTTGAAATCCAATAAACGTTTAATGTGAAAAAAAGAGAAGATCAACAAAAAGGCAACCAAAAATCTGTACTTTGACTGTTTTTCTTTTGCCCAAAAAGAAGTAAGATTGCATTTGACTTGCAAGTTCTCGACCAAAAAAAATAAGTTTATATAAAAATGCTATGCTGTGCGCGAAAAGCAAAAAGGGAAATGTTAAAACAATCAAACAAATAAAAATTACGAAAACGAGAAATATTTTTGCGAAGTGTCTCTCTGCATTCAATTTCTGGCCTTTTAATACGACATTTGGGAAGAAAAGTTTAAAAAGTTGCCTGTTTTGTTGATTGGATGATTGATGCGCATTTTTGATGGATATACAATTGATTGAGGAAACTTTAATGCTCAATTTAATGAATTTAAACAAAAATCAAATTTTATTGAATTTAAAGTTTTAAATTTAAACAGTTTTTAAAAATTCAAATTTTTAAGGTTTTTAAAATTCAAAATTTTGGGTTTTCTTTAATTTAAAATTTTAGTTGAAAATTATTAACGGTCTCTATAATTTCAAATTTTAACAGATTCCTTAACTTCAAATTTTTGTAGATTTTTTAAATTCAAAATTATACCGGTTTTTAAAAATTTAAAATTATAACGACTCTTTTAAATTCAAAATTCAAAATTTTAACATTTTTTTTAAAATTCAAAATTTTAAAGGTTTTTATATATTAAATTCAAAACTTTAACGGTTATTTTAAATTCAAAAATTTAGTAAATTTATTCAAGAATTTTAGAACACTAATTGTTATGTTTCTAATATTAAACAAAAAAATCAACAGTTTATTAAGTTTAGATCGAGCTAACCTTAAAGTTAGGTAAAGGTTTTTTACGCCCTTTTAAATAATTTAAGTAATATTTAAGGGGGCTTTTTCCTTTGTAAAGAGTGAAAGCAATAATACTAATAAAATAATAATAATAATAATAAAATAGAAACCTGTCAAAAAAAAAAAAAAAAAAAAGTTTGTCAAGAGCTTATATGGGTGAGGTTTGGGGGGGGGGGTCATCTATTGACTTAAAGATTCTATTAAAAGCCCTCTGAAGGTCCTAATGTTAGATAAATACTTTATTAGCTACCTTAATAAGCTGCATTCAGCTTGTTAATCAGCTGGTCAAGTTAGTACCACAGCTCATTGCCCGGTCAATCAATCAGCCAAACCCAAACATTCTTTAATTTGTAAGCTGCCCTTTATTTTTATAAGTAACGCTAAAAAGGCATCAGGAGGGAGAAAAGTAATAAGAAGTTGGAAATTTTCGACAGCAGCAACAGCAGCATCAAGAAGTTTGTAAAGAAGAAAGACAATCAATTCAAAGTAAATCGCTTGGACTGTTTTTATAAATATATATAAATATATTTCATGAAAAAAAAGTAACAGAATGAAAGAAAGACGACAATTTTGTTCAATTCTTTTCAGCAATACAACATTGATCGTCTTCTTATATACATATATCCATTTTGTGATGATGCCAAAGTCACAAAAGCGAAGGAAAAAAATAACCAAAATCCCAAGAAAAATTCTTCATTTGTTTAAAAAAATTAAAATAAAAGATTTTTTTTTGTTTTTGAGGAAAAGAAATGTAAATCAACATAACAAAAAAAACAAAGAAAAGGAGAAAAAAATTTGAATATTGCAAAAATTTTCACTGTTTTTTGAGATTCAAAAAAAAAAGCGACAGAAAAAGAAATGCAACGAGGACCCCTCATTATTTGATAGATGATTTTTGTTTCTCGTCTTTTGAATTATTTTTTTTTGTTGTGTCTTTCAACAAAATAAATCTTATGGATTGTGACATGTGAAGGGGATGAGTGATGGAAGCGCATTTTATTTGGGATGGGAAGAACTTGAGCTGTGATGAGATTTGCTTTAGGAGGTTTATAAGTTATCTTTGGTGATACTTCAATTGCAATTTTAATAGTCCTGGAAGCATCTTAGGTGCCTTGACTTATGACGTCAAAGAAGGGGGGGGGGGTCAGGAAGAAAAAATGATCGGTAATTTCGGACGTCTTAAGTGAACAACCCTTTATTAAAAAGCAGGAGCATAGCCAGGGGGGATTTGGGAGACAAATCCTCCTTCGTCTTGAGACATTTTTTTCATTTTGCTAGAGTTTCTATGAAAAACTCGAAAAAAATCCACAACCCCCCCTAAAAGTTTTCCATACAAAAAAAAATTGTCCCCC